TTGTGTAAATAAATTTTGAATTTTTGTTGTTAATATTACTAACAAATTATTGTAATTAATTTTGTTTACTACGCTTATTTTTTTTAGCAAATATACCACTAGGCAGACTGCCTAGTGGTTAATATATAAATAAAATCCCAAAATGGGTCCAAAGCTTACGAGATGTCCAAACCAAAATAGAAGTTGCATGAAGCTACTAGCTACTAAAAAGATAGAAAAGCTAAAGTCTAATGAACTAGCTATTACAACATTGTCCGCTGAATTCTTCCTTCTCTTGTCAGTGTATGTGAATCCAATTGCCACTGACAAATACCAAGCAACACCTATCAAGCTCTCACCAGGCGCCAGGGTATGCAGTCCATAGGCTAATATGAATTCCAAACATTTCCACCACAGAATTGAAGCCAGCATAGTCTTCCAATCATTAGTGTTGCTATAATATGATCCCCATAGGCATTGTACTAACTCTATCCAAGTATAAGTTATGTGGTCGATCATCAATATTATCATGTAAAAGAGCCTCGCTACTCCTGTCTTGAAGATGGCTTTAGGCAGGCTTTGCAAGGCAAAAGCCAAGCTGGGGCTGGCTTTAGGCAGGCTTTGCAAGGCAAAAGCCAGGCTGGGGCTGGCTTTAAGCAGGCTTTGCAAGGCAAAAGCCAGGTTGGGGCTGGCTTTAGGCTGGTTTTGCAAGGCAAAAGCCAGGCCAGGGCTGGCTTTAAGCTGGCGATGCCAGGGTATCATCAGGCTTTAGCCTGGCGCCGCGAGGCCTGTGGTGCTGGATGATTTTATGATCTTGTAAGCTCATATCCTTCTCTTCCCGAACCTTTAATGTATAAATCATTCTAAACATTGCTAAACCATCCTCAGATTGAGCATGAAGACATGCTAATACCACTGGGAAATGATTCAACAATCTCCAGAAAGTCCACATAACAGATTCAACCTTTTCCTTGACATTTGAACATATCAGAAGTAGAATAAATTGCACCATCCAATACCTGCTTATCACATTGGTCCTGTACACTATCAAAGCATGTGACCATGATAATACCACTGGAAAGTACCTTAATAGTATACTGAATGAGACATAAAAGAAACTCGTAGGTATGCGCAGATTCCAATCCTGTGAAGCCATCAGTCCGGGGCTCTTCTCTTTTCTATTCTAACCCTAAGGTTAGGAGTTTGAGACTTGTCTAAATTAATCAACCTCCTCCCTGCACTAGGCAGTTTAGGGAATGAGTGAAACTCAGATGTACCTACAAAAGAAAACACAATGTTAGCTATAAAATCCGCCACTGAGTTGCCTTCTCTCAACACATGTTGAAAGATCACATTGAAGTTTCCCTTCATCTCTATAATTTTCTTCACATCATTTGCAATTACCCAAGGAGGATCCCATTCCCCTTCTATCACTTTCTTCATCACTAATGAATCAGTCTCCAATATGAGAGGGTGAAAATCATGCTCCACACAGTATTCTAATCCTTGAAGAATAGCCTTAGCTTCAAGCCACCCACATAGTTGTCACCCCCAGGTCTACTGCCCTTGCATACACCACATCACCTTCATCATTCCTCACACAAAAACCAAATGAGCTAGGACCAAGATTTCTTGTAGAGGCTCCATTAGTATTGCATTTGTACCAACCATGAAACCGAAGCTGCCATATTACTCTTGTAGTGATCAATATAGGTTTATATCCTTCAAAATATTGAATTATGTCTGGCCATAACAATGGAATATTAGGCATCCAAGTATACCTCACCCTTGCCAGTTGATGAAATGTCCTATTGATCTCATGAATCACCCTATTTGTGGACACTGAACCCCCATGTTTACCTGCATTTCTTCTCTTCCAAAGTTCCCAAGTGATGATAGCTGGTACTGCTTGAAACAATAGCTTTAACTTTGGACAACATTGAGCATACCACCAATGCCTTATAACCCGCTTCAATTGAATCAATGGCACAGTAATTCCAGCAGCCCCCACGAACAAGTTCCATACCTTAGAGGTAGTAGGACTTGTGACAAATATATGCTCAATAGATTCCTCTTGGGGCTGCTTTTTTCTTGTTTTTATTTTTTTTTTTTTTTTTTTTTTTTCGACACACCACACACCTAGACACACATTTGCCCTGCCCCTCCTCCATATGTCATCAGTGGCTATTTTCCGCCTCCACAATCTCCACAAGAAGAAGGATATCTTGAATGGTAAGCCTTTAATCCACATTAACTTGAATTCCTAATTGGGATCAACCCTATGCCTTAATATTTGCCAAGTACTACTAACACTGAACTTGCCTGAAGGAGTTAGCATCCAGTATGGCCTATCCCAGTATCCCTCACTGCCTTCATAATGCACATTTAGCCTTATATGTTTTATAATTTCCTCATTGAAGGTTTGATCTAGCAGCTAATCATTCCATGTTTCACCTTGCCGTAACTCTCCCACATCTTGAAGATCTTCATTGATTGGGAAGTCTTCAGGTAATAATGATAGAGTGCACCCTATCCAGTCCAATTTTCATGCCAAATATTAGTTGTCCACTCTTCAGTTCCCATAGGATATCATGTTCTACTTCTTCCCTAGCATTCAACATTTGTCTCCAAACATGAGACCCCCTTCTAAACTGCACCACCATTGATATTTCCTTCTTGCAATACTTATTCCATATGAAATTAGACCATAAAGATTTTGTGGTCCTAAACCTCCACCATAGTTTAGCAAACAATGCCCTCGACACATCATGTAAGGACCTAAAAGTTAGGCCCCCTTCCTCTTTAGGAAGGCAATGATTTTGCCATGAGGCCCAATGTCTGCTTCTCCCTTCTTCCTTTGTGCTCCAAAAGAACCTAGCAAAAATATTATGAAGATGCTCCAGGATATTTTTTTGTGGATGAAGGACTGATAACATGTGGACTGACATACTTTGCAACACACTAGAAATGAGTGTTGCCTTTCCTCCAAATGATAGCAGCTTTCCTTTTCATGAATGCAATTTAGCCTTTACTTTCTTGATAAGATCCTCATAATATTCCTTCCTCCTTCTAGTGTAGAAAATAGGACACCCTAGATATGTGAAAGGGAATTTACCTCTTGCAAATTCTGTAATAACTCCAACCGCCTGACACAATCTATTAGAAATCTTTGAATACATGTAGTATGAACTCTTGTCTTTGTTGATCATCTGGCCTGATATCTTCTCATAGTTCCCCAACACTGCCATAATCTTGCTCAAGGATGGAGGATGAGCAAAAGCAAATGTTATAGTATCATCAGCATATGCCAAGTGGTTTAAAGGATCAAACCACTTAGACATTCCAAATCCCACAAATAACCTGTCTTCAAATAGCTTATTCAAAGACCTGGAAAGTACCTCAGCTGACAGAATGAACAATGCGGGTGATAGAGGATCCCCTTGCTTCACACCCCTTGTAGACTTAAAGAACCCTGAGGACTGTCCATTCACTAATACTGAATACCAATTATTTGACACCAAGTTCCACACCATGTTGATGAAATGCTCAGAAAATCCCTTCTTACTTAGTACATGCAATAAGTACTTCCATGAAACCCTATCGAAGGCCTTAGCCATATTAAGCTTGATGACCACATTCGCTGGCTTTCCCCTTAACCTTATGTCAGTGACAATTTCTTGAGTCAATAAGATGTTCTCAAATATACTCCTACCCTTCATAAATTCGGATTGATTAGGAGATATCAGAGAACGAAAAAAATTATCCAATCTATCATGTAATACCCTAGATAAGACCTTGTTAATGAAGTTGCTCAAGCTAATAGGTCTTAAGTCAGAAAAGGTCTCAACTCTAGGTTTCTTAGGCAGCAACACTAGATTGGTGTGAGTGATGGATTTAGGCAGTGCAGCTCCTCCATAGAAGTGTAGCACCATGTTGTGTATATCAGCACCAATAACATTGCAGCATGTTTGATAAAACAGGCCAGTGAATCCATCTGGACCACTAGCACTCTCCCCACTAAGCTCAAAAACTGCTGTCCTTACCTCTTCAATTGTTGGCAATCTGCTAAGTTCCAAATTCTATTCCACAGTGACCATCGAAGGTACATTATTGAGCAAGGAAAAAGTCATATGTATCACCTTCATTTGTGAACTGTTTTTGATAGAAGTCCACTGCAGCTGTAGCCAATTGCTCCTGGTCTTCAATCCATACCCCACTTCCACTTTTGATCCTCTTCAGTTGCAATTTCTTTCTTTTTCCATTGACATGATTGTGAAAGAAACTTGTATTCCTATCTCCTTCAGCAAACCAAGTCATCCCAGCTTTTTGCTTCCAGTACTACTCCTCAATACTCAAGTATTTTTTCAATTCAGATTGAGCCTTTTGAAGCACAATCCTGTTCTCAATTGTAGGCTCTTCTTCAAACAATATCTCTTTTACTATGCTCATTATTTTGTTATTCCAGCATTATATATGCTTAAATACTTTCTATTTTTTATTTATAAATAATATTTATTTATTTTATAGGTAAGTCCATAATATATATTAAAAAGGAAAAATCATAGTATTAAAAAGTTTAAAAAAAATAAAAAGAAGATAAATGTTTATAATTTAGAGGATAAAATTGGTATTTGGCAATCCAAAATTTGAAAAATCTAGTTGAGTGACCTTCTGAGTGCAATAGGCATAGACTTTGTTGTTACAAACGAAAGTAAAGTGACTTTAGGAGATAATTTGGGAAAATTTAGCGACCATTTGAGTAATGGACTCTATTGAAGCTTATCCTAAATCATTAAGTTTGCCTTTAACAAATGTTAAATTTGAAACACCCAAAATAAACTCAGGGGAATGAAGATAATCTTTGGCTTTTAATGTTGGGACCAGCTACAGCGTGTCGGTAAACCTTGAACGTTATTGGCTTATTGCTTTTGCTGGCCTTTAATTTCGCAAGTGTAGTTTTTTCACGTGAACTAATCGACTAATTAATTAACTAAAACGCGATAATACATAAGGGTTTCCCGTAACATAATATTGAACAAAGACTTGTTTCTTTTCTTTTGCATTTGTTACGATATTAAAAACATACGCTTACAAAAACAAGAAACATATTGAAATCAAAATTCGTAAAATACAAGCAAATCTTTTTAAACAATTTTATCATGAAACCTCTTCACTATAGTTGAGTTCATGAATTCCAAACAGATGGGTGGCTTTAAAACATTCCTAGAGCAGTAATTAATATATATAGCTATATATAGCAGCTGTTAGCTCTCATATCCTACTCCACGGCGTGTCACGGCGGAATCCGATGGCGAAGGAGCGGTTTTTGGATGGACTTTCTTGAATATTTTCATGGAAAAGCAACCACCCGAAGAAGAGGAAGAAGAAGAAGAAGAGGATGAGGATGAGGATGAGCTTTTAGGATTATTATGTTGCTTTTTGGTGTCATTAGTTTCCAGTTCTGTCTTCATCTTCTCCTTGTATTGTTTCTTCATCACATAAGCTTCGGCAAGATAAGCACTAGGAGTCGCCATTGTAAAGCTCAAGTGAAGGCTAAAAAATTGGAGAAAGTCTTGAATTTCGGTAAAGGAATTTGGATATGGAATATGAAGAGAATACTGGTATTTATAGGGTTTTCATAGGCTTGGGGGATACGCAAAACATGTATGAAAGCAATAGATGAATATGTGGCTCTTTCTGCCTTTAGAATTCTTGGTTTGCTGGTGGGGTAAGGGGTCTTTTTGTGTGTGTGTGTGTGTTTTGGGTTGGGTGGATTGAAGTTTCTTGATTTGTTTCTCACCCGATATTTGATATTCCCTTCTATCCATAATAAGTGACCAACTTGCTTTTGGCACACCCATTAAGAAAATACTAATTTCGGGACGAAAAAAGTTAGTGTGACTAAACTACCCTTCATTAAATGATGCACCATAGTTATAGTAACACTTACTTTTCTTCTCAAATGTGAGGAGTAAATGACTACATACATAAGAGTAATTTTAAAAAAAAACAAATTGAATTTTTTCTTGATTATATAAATTGACAGTTATTTTGGATCAAAACAAAAAACCATATTGATCATTTATTGTGGATCGGAGGGAGTACTTTTATCAGAATTGACTAGTCACACTAAAAGTTCTACTTTGGAGAATAAAAATGCTTCCTATCAAGTGCGACGTCATTGGTTCTAATGATTAAAAATAAATAAAATACTGACCACCCTACCACCACTTTTGGTGAAAAATATTGTTTGAAGGTTAAGTAAACTTTGACTTGGCAATCGTGAAGTTTTTTCCATTTATAATTGATGAGAATAAATGAAGAATTCTGACGTCAACAATGACGTGAAGGCATTTCCAAACCAAGAAGATTTTCTTTTCAATTGTATATTATACTCCTACGGAAAAATATTTTAATTTCCTGAGTGTAAATTGTATAAAAATAAAGTTTCACGAGTAAACAAAAAATCAGCAAATTTGGAAGGTATCGTTTAAGGAGTTCTGGTTTATTAAAATCATAATAACTCAACCTTAGGGGCAAAAATTAAACTAATTTAAATAAAACGAAATTAGTGATTTCGGCTTTGTTTGTTTACTAAGTGGTGATTTCGTTTTCGGCTATTTGCAGGTGTTAGGACATTATTTGTAAATCAATGTTTGTTTTACAATTTTTTCTATTATTTTACTTCAACTTGAAACAGAGAAATTTGAAGCTTGAAAACTGGAATGAAGAATATTTCAAGTGAAATACTAATAGTTTTCACTTATAAACTTTAAATTTTCTTCTTTTTTTGTGCAAATTAAACTCATGTCCGAATACTCTTAAACTTTAGCTTCAAATACTCTAGCTTTTCAACTTCATAAATATTGCGCAAAGGATACAAATTATTTATAAAGATTTTTTTTCCTAAAACGTGATAATTTATGATCAATCGCGTAAACAAATCTTATCGATGATTTTTTAATCGAATATTTTCAAATGACCAAGATTGACTAGGCTTAACTAAAGTCACAAAAGTAAAAATTCAGACTCCATTATTTTGAATTTGATTCTTATTATGACTAACAGTCGACCAGTAGGTAAAACTACCTTTTCAATTTTCTTTTAAAGAATATTTAGGTAAAACTACTTGTCAAAGCACTCCTTAATTTGGTATACGTACTCTATGGTTGTCCTATCTTTAGGTATCACTTTGTCATAGTTTCTGAAATTTATGGCATCCGAAGTTCCAATATAATGCCAAACGTCAGGCCACTGGAGAACTTGAGTTAATTTGTAAAAGAACCAGGGTAACAGGAGAACCAGACTCTTACCCTGTTTCTGTTATCTGTTATCTACCCTCAATTTTTTTCCCCCTTTTGGTATCATTGAAAATAAAATAAAATAGGCATACACAACAAGAAGTCCAGCAACATTTACTCATGCCACTTATGTACACACAACATGGCTAAAATCAGAACATAAGAGATTAACGTTGCGCAAAATAGACAGTCATGCCTATTAATTGTAAGAGAAAAAAATATAGGAATACCAATACTAGTAACAAAGATATTACAAACCAAAATAATTAAATTACCATAGTCATAAGATAGCATCAACAAAAGGACAGGATTACTAGAGGACTGGGAAGGGGTGCAAAAACACTGGATAGGGGACATGAAGGATTAGGGAGAAAGAGCCTTGATGAGACTATCATTCTTGCATTAGTAGCTATTTGATTATTGGCCAGCTGCTCCTTCAGGTTCTCAACATGCTTCCTTAACTCAACATTCTCAGCCCGCAAACAAGAAATCTCTTCTCCCTGAGAGTTGTTGTCACGACCCAACTTTCCATCCGTAAGATGTCGTGATGGTACCTATTCTTAGGGATTAGGTAAGCCTAACATTTACTGAAATAATAACAATAATAAATAATGATTGACAAAGGCGAAGAAGAAATCTCGATACAAAATTTACAATCCCAAAACGGGTAGTACAAGTCATAAGATCTACAAAGTTTCCTAGAAACCTCTAAATACAACAGTCTCCAAATAAGGAGAAAACAATGTAAAAATATATCAGAAGGTGACTTCGAAGCCTGCGAACGCAACAACAAGTTTACCTTGAGTCTCCACAGCAAAAATCCGCACAGCTAGCCAATGATCGACTGACTTCGAAATACCTGGATCTGCACAAAAATTATGCAGAAGCATAGTATAAGTACACCAAAGCGGTACCCAGTAAGTATCAAAACTAACCTCACTGGAGTAGTGACGAGGGATAGTCAAGAAACCTACTGGTCTGAATAACCTAGACAAGTATAGGTATAGAACTAGCAGAGTACGATATCTCTACCAAACTACGCCATAATGATAACAACAAAGGTACTTGCAATAGGAAAAGGAAGCAACAATTAGCACCAGAACACAACGAATAGTGGAGCAAGCTGAACACAGTTAAAATCTGATGAAAAAATAATAAAGGAAGGACAAGTAGCATTTCGGCAAGAATAACCGCTTTCACAACGGATTTATCCAATAATCTCCACGAGGTAACAAACCTCAAAATATTCACAAGTCATGGGTTCCAATACGTGAACCCTAAACACTTAGCATCTTGTGCCCACATTCCAACTGATAACTGCACGGACAACTCACATAGCCAATACAGTCATTCTCACATAGAAGGCAGAGGGCATGTAGAAATGATCAATAACATCAAGATCCATCTTCTTAAACCGTTAGGGGTTATTAACTACGTGTATGCGTGTGCCAGTGTTCTATCACAGTTTGGGCCAACTAATAAGAATAGAAACAATAAATGATACATAAGAAACGATCACCACGAAATGTACACGGTATAACTCGCATAGGGTAAGTATGTCACTATACAAATACCAATAACAACAATGCCCCCGGGCCATCACAAGTCATCACAAACAATTCTCGACATAGCTCACCTTGTCTCGCCACGTGCGCAATAATAAAGTAAATGCCCGCCTTATCTCACCTCACGCGCATAGTAATGTTCCCACCTTTTCTCGCCACATGCGCAAACACGTAGATACAACCCTCCTTGTCACACCGCATGTGCATAATCAACAGTAACAATAGCACGGCAGAAACCTCGTGCAAACACTCAAACAAAATATCCCAACAACATCTTGTGCCAACAACACAACACCACAATAGAATGGCCTTCACAACATATGACCATATTCTACAACAATTCCACTTAACAATCTCGATGCGACAACCGCGCATAGCCCTCGGCTCAACAAACTAAGTACAACAACAACAATAGTACATGAGAATACGGCAAGTAAATCAACTTAAGAGCTTTAGAACACAAAGAAACGGTAGAACGAGTTCACAAAGAATAAACACAATGGAGAATACTAGTCAGAATAAGAATAGCTCAACACGGGAGAAATTAATATGCAACAATAACTTCACAAAAGTACAATTTGACAATACGGGAAGTTACATGAGTCATTAATTCCAAATAAGGATGAGACACTATGATAAAGGATAATTAACTTCTTTTAGGTTTGAGCAAATTACAGAAAACAATATAGCAACTTAATTAAGGATAAGCAACAGAAAAAATAGAATGGAAATTGAAGAGGCAACAACTTCAGTTAAGGCATATAAGAGTCAAATAGGCAATAAGAGTGGATATGAAGTAATTAATTCCAATTAAGACACGTTGGGTTGAAATTAGTAAATGGGGGATTTAATATAACAAACAACTTCATATCGAATGAACATAAGAACCTAAGAACCTTAAAAGATCAACTTTCCACAAATAAGCCCGAGCACGTACTTGTCACCTCGCATACACGGACTTTGCATAATACAATTAGCACAGAAGACTCAAATCCTAAGGGGTAGTTTCCCCACAAGAAGTTAGGCAAGATACTTACCTCAAAGAAGATAGACCGTCACTCTAAAATGAACATCTCGAGTGAAATAACCTGCGGACGGTTCAAATCTAGACAAAAAAACTTCAAACCACAAATAAAACTTATAAGAAGCTATTCCGGATAATAAAGCCTCAATCTTTATAAAAAACTAAAAATCAACCCAAAAGTTGACCCTCGGGCCCGCAGCTCGAAAGCCGACAAATTTAACAAAATCCGAACACCCATTCCGATACGAGTTCAACAATACCAAAATTATCAAATTTCGATACCAATTCGTCCCTCAAATCATCATTTTATATTTTGAAAGTTTTCTTCAAAATCCCCATTTTCCTCAACTCAAAACACTATTTAATGATAAAAATAAAGATAGAATTATTGAATATAATAAATTCTAGGTGATTAACACTTACCCAATTGATTTGCTTGAAAAACGCACAAAGAATCGCTCAAAATCGAGCTTTAGAACTCTAAAACTGTTGAAAATGGCTAATCCTCAAAATAGAGTACTATATATTTTGCCCAGGTATTAATGCATCGATTGCGGAACAACATCGCGATCGCGAAAAGAAAAAAATGAAGGCTCCCAAAATCATGCTACGCCAACGCGACAGAGAGCTCGCGAACACGGTGCACAAAACCCAAACCTTTCGCGAACGCGAAGAGAAATTTGCCTGATGCCCCTAGTCCGCCTTACCATTATGTGACCGCGTGCCTGTAGATGCGAACGCGAAGACAAGGATCTTCCTACCTTCGCGAACGCGAGCCCCTCTTCACGAACGCGAACGGCAAATGCTGCCTGC